TGCTGCCATCTTGCCTCTCACACAGAGAAGGTGAAGCCAGGCTGTCAATCACAGCCCACAAGTCCCTTTTCTGTGACAGTCATGGGTCACTTCTTTCTGCAGGGCAGCAGACATAAGTCAGCGGAGTGCTCAGAGATGGATATAAAAGGTTTAGCTGCTGACTTGTAACAGTCTAAATTTGAATATCAGCTCTTATCTTCTTGGGCCGTACAATTTGGGAAGGACTGCACCTGAAACAGCCAATGGTGCCGATAATGTTACAACTATGTTCATATGCTTAGGATAGAAGTGTCTACTTCAAAAGGACAACTGTACTGTGATATTTATTTATTTTTTAACGTCGCTCCCCCCTCCTTCCAAATGGCTTTAAAAAGTATTTTGCATTTGTAAACAGACTTTGACCCTGGTCTGCAATGCTTCCGGGTGACATCATTATGCCTTCCTGCAAAGCTTGGAGCCCAACATCCTACAAAAAAGCACTCCAGGCCAGTAAAAGTGCATTCTGGTGGGATTTCAAGCACCTAGCTATGCCTAGAGGCAGCAGTGAGCTACGGTGATTCTACCTGTACCTCCCGAAGTTTTGCAAACTGGAGCCAAGGCAGGCAAGTCTTTTCCTAGGTGATTGGTTTGTTTACAAATGGGTTTTTAAAGCCATCTGTGTTGAGGGCTTGGAGAAAAAGCAGACATTTCCTTTTGCAGGGACAGTTGTACTTTAAATATAGTTTACAGTGCACATTGCAAAGCATGGGCTATCAAAACACTTTCTATGGCTACTTGAATAAAATATTCAAATTTTGTTCATATTCTATGTTATATTATGTAGCCAAACAAGGAGTTCAGAATTTACTAAATGGCAAAATGAAAACATTATTCTAGACCTGCATATAGCACTAAGCACAGCACACGAGTGTTCTCCAGTTCTACATACAAATTCCAATTTCAAAGAGATCCCACTAAATAAGAGACAAGGACAAAGGGTATATTGCTATTCACTTGATATATGAACTACAATAGTTAAAGCACACCATTTATCTAACAATTTGCAAATAAGCCAATGGATTTACAAACTTACAGAATCATATGTTCACGACATCAATTTATTTCAGCTCTCAAACCATCACAGATATAAGGGACCCTATCTCTGGCTTAGGCGGACCTATAAATCCAGGAAAGATGGAGTCTCTAGAAGGCTAAAAGAGCACTCTGGGAGGACATTTATCAAGTCTGTCTCACAGCAAGGTAATGCTAAAAAGAAGCAGTGGGACAAATGGTGGGAAAGATTTATAACAGGGTAAGGGTCCATTCACACCAATTGCGGTGCGTTCCAGAGGAATGGTAGCTGCTGGAACGCACAGAAATCGCTCACTTAACTTCCCCCTTCGTTCTGGGGCAGGAGAGGGTGTGGCATGCATTGAAGTCAATGGCACCACTCCAGTGCGATCGAACGCGTGGCAAAACATTGCCTGGGTTCCAGTCCACTTTGAATGCAAAAAAATGCTGCATGTTCTATTTTTTGCGTTCACAAAATGTTTTTCGACCGGAATGCAAGCAATGTTTTGCCACGCATTCAATCGCACTGCGGGTGGAGGGTGTGGCTGTGGTGCCATTGACTTCAATGCACTGCCACACTCCCTCCTGCCCAGAACGAAGGGGGAAGTTTAGTGAGCGATTGCTGTGCATTCCAGCAGCTACCGCTCTGGAACGCACCGCAATTGGTGTAAATGGGCCCTGAACGTGCCCGAATACAACCATTCCACTTCATAATAATGCTTCTGTTTAGAGTGAAAGTCTGTCATCTTCCGTAATAAATCTGCCCAAGAATACAAATGCCGGGGTTGTAAAGACAACGTAAACTTGTCCCAGAAACATTGCTACGGCTGGTTGTTGGAATTTGAACATTCACTTGAAATAAAATTGTCCCTCAGATCATTCAATGATGCCAAGATCGATTGAGTGAAATCATTTTCTTCAAAAGCCCCTTAAACCCCATCCATACTTGAATGGAAGTACAATTAGTACAATTCCAGATGTACTAAACAGGTTTCTATTGTGCTCAGCACATGCACATTCTCTCCCCCACCCACCCCCTCAAACAAAAATGAAATTCCCGGATAGAATTTTGTTCATTTAGATAAAAAACAAGGAAAAAATTCCATCTTGCTCCTTCAAATTTTCCTCATCGCTATAATCAGAAAGGAACATTGATTAGATCCCCAACGATTAGATCCATTCTGCTGGTGTATGGCCAGCTTTAGTAAGAGGAAGCCTGATCTGCTTCTGTATTGCTAATATGCTTGATAAATGCCCCCCTCCTTATCTATATTATTATACAGTGATGGTGGTAAAGTTTAATATATTGCAGCTTACCAGTCCTTAGTTGTGGTGGCTGCATTAGCTTTTACATTTTCTGCAAGTACAGAAAAACACCTTTTAATTATATTATAAATTCAGTGTCCTTGTAACTTCATGGGCACAAAACTAAAATTTCTAAACCATGTTCTCTGCCTTCCCAGCTATTTTCTGTGAACTATAGAACAACTTCTATGTAATGGAGATTAGGAGAGGAGATGTTTGTAGTCTAAATCAGGAGTGTGGCCTAGTGTGACAACACTGCTAATACATAAATACAGTACAGCAAGTGAACGTTGTCATCCTAGGACAGGAAGCAAGTTACTGGCATTAACAATGAAAACAAATACAGCCACCACATATAAGGAGTGATGAGCTGAATTATATAAATTTTTTAAGGGGGTTAAATTAGTTTAATTATAGGCACATTTATTTTTTTCCCTGCTTCTCTGTATGTCCTTTAGGGACTATTCACATTTGTGCTCGAGTGTTGGATGACTCAAAAACAGATAAATTGTAAATGGACTACCTTTGGCTTCCTTGTAAACTAGATGCACACACTGTCTGTGCTAACAAAGGGTTAAAGATCTCAGCGCTTGGGAGGTACATGGTATGTTAAAACATCAGGACAGAAAGTGTTTCAGCCTACAGAACACCTCTTCCTCTTCAGAACAGTGAGGAAGTGTTCTGTAATCCAGAGAGAGAAATGGAAACAATGGCAATGGATAAAAGTTAGCAGAAGCACAAAGGAACAGCTATATTTTTGCACTTAATGAACAGATATAACAAAAGCACCTTCAGCGGTATATTGAAGGGACCAAAAGGGAGAAAAGAAGAGAAGTTCATTGTTAGGGTTTATATACACATCTAAAATGATGGACGGTCTCTCTGAAATAACAAGACTTAAGAAGATGGGTGGGAGTAATCCAGGGTAAGATGAGCTCTTCCTATAACTTCAGCCTATTTCATCTCTGGATCTTCTGGTCATTCTGACATATGACTTTCATTTAAGACTAGCAGATCTAAACCCTCTATACCTCAATGAACATACAAGGTATCTTAAAGTAGTCCAAGAGCCATATCTCTCTTTGCTTCTATAGATTTTTTTTTACTAGTTATCCATATTACTGCCTGGAACGTTGCAGTGCTTTTCGGCACCCACGTCATTCCTCTGCGACGTGCAGATAGCCATAAAAATGGCAGTTCCCATGAGCAGTGGAAGCCTGTACAGGGGAGTGATTTAAGGACTGCTCCCTGCCACTCAGCCAGCACAGGGGCATGAAAGCAATGACTGACATACATAAGGAGGGACTAAAGAAATCAGAAGAAGTTGTGCTGACGTCCACATGTACACCAATAGCCTACACATGAATCAGACTAAAGAGTAATGACTGACTGACATTTTCATGCAGGAGTATCCGTGTTATCATGCCATCAAAGGAAGCAAGCTGGCATTCTGTCAGGATCACCAAGCATGTTATAGCAGAAAAAGAAGCCAAACAAATGACAAGAGCACAATTTGGATGCCTGTGCATATTCTGCAACATGTGTACCTTTTTATTTTTGCCCATACATATCTAAAATCTGCTAAGGCCTTTTCTTCCCATCATATGGTCATTCTGAATTGCCAAAATTAGTGACAGGTGAATGTTAACACACAGACAATGCTTAAAAACAGGATTTCTACACTTATCCTGTACTTTGCTATAAATGTCAAATAGTTTGAGTGCCCATTCCCACCAACTGTGGTGCGTTCCAAAGTGGCAGCTGCTGGAACGCACATCGCTTACAAAACTTCCCCCTTTGTTCTGGGGTGGGGCGATGCATCAAAGTCAATGGCACCCCAGCCACGCCGATCGAAAGCGTGGCAAAACATTGCCTGCGTTCCGGTCCACTACAGATGCGAAAAATAGAGCATGCAGCATTTGCAGTGGACCGGAGGGGGGCGGGGACGTTTTGCGGCCGATTGCTGTGCGGGCCAGCAGCTGCCGCTCTGGAATGCACCACAATTGGTGTAAATGGGCCCTAAAGCACTCTGCATAGGTAAAACCTGGAGATAAACCTGAAAATGTTTATTATTTTCTTTACCTTAACACTGGCTTCTAAATAAAGCTCCCTGAAAGCCAGTACAGAAAATGTAACACACTGGCATGCCATTTGTTTTTCCTTGCTTTAGGTGCCCATCTTTTTATACCAAACATATAGTTCACCTTTTTAAGTTCAGCTGCATCACATACATCCTGTATGTCAGTTATAAAACTGAAACAGAGGAAAGAAAGAATAGGAATTGTGTCCCCTACCATACAAGTAGCTATTCATTTTTGGTCGGAAAAAAAGCAAAAATATGAATGGTAGAAAATCAATACCTCTGCCATTTAACACTTTGCCTTCTGCCACAGATCTATGTAACATACAAAACAAAGCAAGACTCTCTATATGGCAGAAATGTATGAATGAGGTATGAAACAAATGAAAGCTGTAACAGATATTCCAAAAGAACCAACAGCTGTATGTTACCGCAAAACCATGACACACAGAAACGGCAAAGATCCTTTCTGTAGAAGAGATGTGTAAGGTGGCATACATTTCTCCGCAGTGACATGCATGTTTCCATGGAAATGACTGAGTAGACACAATAGTAGGCCACATACCAAAGTGTGCTGAACCACTGCTACTTTTACTTGATGTCGAGGTACTGCAAGTCTGGGTCCCAGGTTGTGCTGTGCCTGTTCGAGTGATACCTTTGTGAAACGTTCTACAGGAAAAGTCAACATTGTCACTGTCATGTAGGGATGTTGTCCGTGGCCTAAAATGGCGCCACCTACATGATTTTATATTGACTAATATCTGGCTGAGGTCTTTAGAGAAACATTTATCCGAGGTATTCGTTTCTGAGGTATTGGCAAATAAATTGATTGAAGTGTGTTCAGGAGAGGAAAGCATGTCAACGTCCAGCTGACGAAAAGCGCTGTCGTAGTCCGAATGCGCTCTGTCGAGAAGCACCCTGCGGAGGGACATCAGAAGGATGCATGTTAGAAATCTTATGCTTGTAATGGAATGTGTGACCTCTCCCGCCCCCAGGTAAATTTTTATTGAAAGAAGTAAAATAACCAAAATACAACAGTACAAGATGACAGTGAAAACATAGAAAAGAACCAGTAACCGAATAAGAAATGTCAGAGAGTAGCAGTAAAATCATAACAGTAGACAGTGTATGGCATTACTTTCAAGTAGGGATGCACCAATACTAGTATCTGAATGAGTGCCAATGCCGAGTATTTGGGCAAATATTTGTACTTGCCCAAATACTCAGATACCTTCCCCCGATACTGCAACTTCCGGTCAGAGGAAGATTTCCTCTGATCTGCAGTGCCGTAGGGGGAACATGGAGCCAGCTTCACGTGCAATCAGGAAGCCGAGTAATGACCCGTCTCCCTGATTAGCAGGAAAGCCGGCTTCCCAGCCAATCAGCATGGAGCCAGCCTCCAGACCAATCAGGAAGCCGGTCATTACTCGCAGCCTCCGGGCCAATCACATTCAAGCCGACCAAGCAACATGGAGCTGGCTCCCAGGCAATCAGGAAGCCGGACGGCACATCATTACCCGCTGCCCAAGAAGCCGGCTCCATGCCAGTGAAAGCACCAGTATCGGCGAGGACCGAAAGCAATATATATCGGTACTCGTACTTGATACCGAAAAACCGCTATCGGTGCATCCCTACTTTCGAGTGAAGAAGACTAGGCCTCGATGATAAGAGAATGCGTAACCACCATGATGTGAGAGCAGTGAAGAGCCTCGTGGAAGCGAGGTCGGGAGGATAAGGTTCTCTTAAGAGGCTATTAGCAATATATCATCAAAGAGGGCAAAGGAAGATAATTTAGAAAAGGAATGTGAGCAAAAAGGTGGCTTTTTAAAATCTATGATTTACTGTTAGGCCTCATTCACACACAACGCAAAATTGTATATTGCGTATATGCACGTATGTATACGCATTTACATGCGCGTATATGCGTGCACTATATGCAATCCCAGAATGCATCACTCGTAAAAGGAATTTGAATGTGCTGTAAGCGTAAAATATGCAGCCAGGACGCATCTCGGTTCCATTCTGTTTTTGCGCATGTTTACGCTACGCAAATATACAGCTCCATACGCAGCTATGTGTATGGAGCCATTTATTTGCATGTGGGACAATACGCGCATATATGTGCGGCAGTGTGAATGAGGCCTAAAAGGAGTAGCTAAAGACTCACTACAATGAAATGCTAACTGAAATAGTTAGGAAGCAGTGACATTCACTGCAGGGGTATCGTCTTGGTACATGTGTTTTTAAATTACAGTGATCGATTTATCTACAGTGAGTGTAGAGCGGAAATTACCTTAAAACAACCACTTAAGGGTAGCCATACACTGTGAAATCTTTTCAAGTGATTTAGTAGATTTAAATATATCTCTTACATCCGGTGAGCATTAGATCTCTTAGCACGGCCCTAGACAGAGTGAAGTCCCCTGTAAAATAATTCACACAAAGCATTGTGTTTGTGACTTATTAATGTATAGTTTACAAAAGTTACCTTCCACCGCGCCCAACCCGTCTTCGTGCAAATCCAATACACTTGCGGGGAACAGTGAGGGTAGTGAGGCAGTATCTATAGCGTGTGTCTCCCAATCCTCCTTGCTTTGGACTACACCATGGCCAATTGCCAGTTTGGTCCAAATGTGGCTTGGGGGGGAAAAAACAAAACAAAATTAAAATCCAAATTAAATCGTATTATATCAGAAAATGAAAGCTACAAGTGCCAAAGGCTCAGAAACTTACAGCATAGTACTGACAGCCGGCTTTCCTACGGAAAGCAAAGGGACCATCTGGATCATTTTCTTCCTCGGCTTCTGATGAACCTGACATAACCTAGATAAGAAAAGCAAAAAATATATTTTAGTACATGTTTTGCATTGCTATAAATACCTAAAAGTGTCTTATCATGCAACAAGTTTCTAAAAAGTAGTAAAATATGTGGCTTATGGCTCATTAACACCTGAGCGCATGGAGGGAAGAACAACTTCTATACCCAGGGCATTTGCTGCCATTGGTTATAATGTACAAAACTCAGAATTTCATATTTCTGTATTTAATTTGATATATCACTTTTAAATAATAATTGGCTTCTGTTTTGATCTCTACAACATAAAGGCAAATCATTCTGTAGTCCAAGAGAGGAGAGGGCTGCCTGAGAGAATACAGGAAATGTGCAGATAACACAGGACAGATCTGAATTTCTGACAAGTTCAACATGTTTGTTTTTTTGCACTTCTTACACAGATATAACAAAATGATTCCAATGGTATATTTAACAGATCAAAACGGAGCAAATGAGAGTTCATTCTCAGGCTTTAAATATACTTTAGGGTTACCAACAAGCATGCAGTGCGAGGGCCTACCCAACTGCTTATAAATGGAATGGATTGTTCAAGGTAGGCCCTCACACCGCATAGTCATTAAATTTAAAGCAGATTTTACTGACATTGTAAAATTGGACTAATTTAAGTGAGCAGCTTTATTTTTAGCCATTTTGTAAAAGAAAAACTATCAGCAACTATTTCTAGTGACAAGAGGTAGAAGCGTTAGATATTACATTTGTCCCAGACAAGTTGGTTGTGTAATGCTTTGAAAGAGAAAAGGACCTAGAAGTAATGACGCAGTCCTTCCTAAGCTGGAGTTTAGCACATGTATGAGCTGTTGCTCAAGAAAGGAAGCTCTACTATAGCAAGTCAGTGTGCAGAGCAAGTGACACGTATGAACGATCACACCACTAACCTCACGTACTACATTTATATAGGTTATAGAAGCCGAATGCAAGGGTATTTATAATATTGCCTGAATTACATTCCCAGCCAGCTCTGTAACTGAGATAAATATGCTACACTAGACAACTAGATTTAGCATGAAAAACCATCATCTGCATACCTGTGACAGCGGCTCATCGTCGGAGCTAGGAAAATCATACTGATTCAGATCTTTAGCATTAAACACTGGCAGTGCAGCAGGGCTTGTTTGTTGAGCAGCAGGGGAGGAGGGTAAGAGTTTGGGCTTCTTCTCATATTTTCGTTTCGGTCGTACATCAGACTTCTCTTGCTGGAAAACATTGAAAAAAAAATTATCAAGTCTATTTCAACCTGTGAAAAGAATATATATAAAAAAATCGAATTATATAGACATGTGTCAGTTGTAATTACTGGTATATTAAAAAAGGAGTATAGATATCAGCTCAATTCACTTTTAAAACTAGTTCATATTCAAAATTAATCTTTACAAAAAATGTGCAACAAGCTTGCCCTGATTTGCTCTGCAGAATAAGTTCAGGATAAAATGCAGATTACAACTGTGAAAGGTTTTTTTAAATGGATGAACACATATTTTACAGTAACAAAAACAAGATCACCATACCTTGTTAACTTTAATCTCTGTAGTGTCCTGATGTTTGAACGGGCTGCTAGAAATTGGGATGATGGGGATGGTATAGGTGGGTTTCAACGGCTGACGCTGTGCCATTACCTCTGACAAAATCTCTCCGCTGTAGTCACCCAGATTATACCTGCAGCAGCAAGAGACAAACTTTTAATTGAGGAGCCTGAGCATCTAGGCTACAAAGAAAAATAATCTTAGCTTAAATAACATTTAGGACTACATCCCTGAGGCAAAAAAATATTTAACAGTAATAACAGTCCTAAATAAGCCACTGATGATGGCCATTAACTTAAATAATAGTCTACTTTTTGGACAGCCCCAATTGTGTACGCAAATACACAGAACACGAAACATATCGGGTATACCTCTTTTCCATAATTTCCAGTGTTAGATGTAATAATTCTCGCTTGCTTTTTTCTCGCCTCTTAATCATTTCTAGAATAGTAACTGCTCGGCTAAGGTCACGGCGTAACTTTAGCATCTTTTCATAAGAAGCCTCATCATTCTTTCGGTTCTGTAAGAATAGGAATTACGACATTATAGACAGGAAAAGAAAATCCTAAAAGAATAATGTTAATCTCTAACTAAATGGACGGAAGCACCAACTGCATCATACAGCTCTTTGGTCTGAATAGCTAAATGTTTGTGTCTGTAGTTGAGGAGAGGATAGATAGCTGTGACATCTAGATTATCCTAATAGCATAAAACTGCTTTTTGCAACAACAAAAAAATTATAAAATAAATCCTTGCGAGTTTGACAACATGTTTATATATAGTCGTCCTAATTATTCTACATGGTGACCGTGGCATCTTACTAGTTGAGCATGTATGTTTAAAACCAGCCCTTAGACAGCAAATCATGCTGCAATCAGCTTCTTTGGGAAGAATTACATAATATCTAAGGGTATCGCAGGCAAGTTTGAGGGGTGTTTAAAAAACCCTACTTGCTGCATCTTTGATAAAAAACGACTATTTTTTATAGCATCTTCAATTTACACATCGCTTTACACATTCACATCAGTGCCTGCCCTCAAGGAGCTTACAATCTGAGGTCCCCATCTCACATGCATATATACAAGGGTCAATTTACCTTCTAGCATGTGTTTGGAGTAAGACGCACATTATGTCTACAATCCAATGCATCCACAGAAGTGGGCTTAGTCACTGGGAAGCTAGATGCATGAGTTTGATGTAATGTGCAAAAAAAAAAAAAAAAATACTACCACTGCCTACTGCATGTTTGGTATATGTTCTAGCAAAACACACCTTCTATAGGGAAGAATGGCAACAAATGTAAAACACTTCTATATTTGTACTGCAGTAAAAAAAAAAACAACAGAGCTTTTACTGTAGCTTCTGTGTCTTCTATTTTTCATAACATCCTACATCTATTCCTGCCATTTATAGCCACTAAGAGATGATTTTTACAGCAGTTCAACTATAAAAAAAACCACAGATTAACATCAAAATAAAGACTGGTGCTTCAACAGGTGTAGACCTATATCTGAGCGACAGGCTATAACAATATCACCATTGGGGCAGCAGATATAACCAGTGTTAAGTTTACTCACTTTCCTTGTTTGCATCTTCTCTGTACGCCTTCTGAAAGCTACATAAGGATCACTGGTGCTTGAGCCATCCCGCTTCTCCTGTTTCACTGCTGGTATAAGGGAGGAGCCACGGCAATTTTTCCTTTTCTTAATCCAATAGTCATACACTTCCGTTATCAACTCATCATCTTCCTTTAGCAATAACTTGGCTTCTTGGAGATTAACAGGCTAGAGAAAGAAAAAGTTCAGATTAGATCCATTTTATTAAAGTGCAAGAGCAAGCGCAGTTACACTTATTTTGTGAAAACCCCCATTGGTCTTCTGCTCACCTGGCCCGATGCAGCGAGATATTGGCTACTGCACAGCTGCTTGTCAAATTTCTCTATGCCGCGCATGCACTCTGTGCACTATAGTCAAACCCATGGAGAGATAGTACAGTTAAGTGGTGCGTTGCACATGCAATATTGCCTGTCGTGCAAAAAGATGCAGGCGCTATTTTCAGGCAGATGCCGCACGGTTTTGGTCCCATAGCACTCTCTATGCATTGAGAGCCATGCACTTTTTAAAAGCAGAATCGCGCAAAAAAATAAAACCACGCAACAAACGTGTGAAAACAGCTCAACAACCGCCTATGTGTGAACCAGGCCTCCAGTACAGAATGTAAAACATACAAAGAAAAAAAAAAAAATTTAAAAAAACACATGAACACATTATTTACCTGCTGACCACTGCCTTTCTCTAACCGGTCAATCATTTCTTCAAACTGTAGAGGAGATATGTCCAATTTCTTTCTGAGCTTGTTCACGAAGATATCATCCTCAGAATCCAAGTCATAATCTGGCTGCTCAGCATCCAAACTAAAAGCTAAAAATGATCATAGAAAACGTTATATATGAGCAGCAAATCAAAGCTTATTCAGCCACAAGCCTGTCCCAAATACTTTGAGAAAACCTGTACTTTTCTCATTCAGGACAAAAGTAAAAAAATTCACTGAATAACTTATTCTCTCTGTTGGTGCTTACCTTCCCCGGTGTCTCCCAACTACAATAATGCACCTTTTTATCTCTTCTACAATTTAGCCAAACACCAGACATAAATGCTGGTCTGCGAGAGCTACAGAACCTTAAAAGGAGAACTATGAGGTGAGCGCTTTTCACTCACCTCATAGTTCTAGCCGACCTGTGACAATGAGACTGTCACAGGTCGGCTCAGTAGATCGGGAGGTGAGCGAACACATACTGGCGTTCGCTCACCTCTCGATCCTGTCACGGCTCTCTGGGATTCCCCCCTCCCTGCCAGCGCTGACTGGCGTAACGGACGGGGGAGGGTACAGCTGGCTCTGCCTCTAGATAGGCAGAGCCAGCTGTCAGTCACACAGCTGGGCGGATCCCGGCACAATTGTCGGGATGCGCTTCAGCTGCGGCGTCTCAGTATACCGCGAGCTACAGCTCGCAGTATACTGAGCCTAGGGTGCCGGGAGGACGCTAGTTTGTGTCCTTCCGTTACCCTAAGGAGAACTATGGGGAAAAGCCTTAATCCCATAGTTCTCCTTTAATCCTGTGGTTAAGAGTGGACCCAGAACATACACAGAATTTGCCCTCCTACATTGAACTGTAGTGTAACTGTATGGTCTCCTTTCATGTTGTAAAGTGCTGTGCAAACTGTTGGTGCTATATAAATCCTGAATAATAATAATAAAGATGGCTCTAGGGAACAAACTGGTGGTGCAGAAGTGACGAATTAGTAGAAAGCGTGCCATCCATGAATGGAAAACTGAATATAGTTGCAGCTACCCTAAATGGGACTATTATTACTTTACTCACAACCCCAAGAAATACCTGGTACTTCTAATATTGTAGTGCTTCATACCTGGGCGGGCAATCACCAGACCCAAGCACCATCAAATGTGGTTGGGGAGAAACTTGCCAAGACACATTTATTCACATTTTAGTTATAAAATATCAGGAAAAGAATTTGCTTTGTATAACAGTTCAGGTCAACAATTCAATAGAGTCAACACCACACTAATAGACGAAAAGTGTTACTTACGCTGTATGTGAATGAGCTGCTTTGGCATCTTAAATTCCCCTGGGTACACGGATTCATAATAGGAGATGTTGCTTTCTGCCTCCGGGACTGGGATAACCATGTTATCCCGCTTCTCTCCATATACCTGCAGTGCTGAAATGGCTCGCTGGAGATGATGTTCCTAGATGAAAAAAAAAAAATGTTAATGAATATTGCTAACGATATTCAAGATGATCATTCTGTTCTACTGCATGCTATTTTCCCAGAACAGTCCACAATACGGTTTTCAAGTCTGTTAATTTATCGAGATCATAGGGACAGAGAAAGGCCTCATTAAAAATATAAATTATATGTACAATTGACACGTATAACAGAAAACATGCAGTATTGCTGTAACCTGTCAGCACCCCAAGGCTCCATGCACATGGCCTCCTGTTATCTGTGAAAAATAACTATTATGCTTCCCAGAACACTTTTTCCTGTGTTTAGCCGGATTTACAATCGTTTAAACGTTTCATGTGCCTAAATGCATGTAAACGAATGCAAAAAAAGGTCCTGTTTGTGTACACGCAGCTAGACTGAATACACATACATACTGCTAAACGTCTAGGTGAGCATTCAGCCACAGCAAATGCATTACATGCTTCCAAGTGTGTTTAGAAACGAGCTCTAAATGCTCCATAATGCACATATTTTATTTCCTGTGTGGTTGAGGCCTTGAACATATCTTTTTATATTAAAAATATCCTATAGAACTGGTTACACTAGGGGTAATATTTAAAAATCAGTGAATGTGACTCATTTGCTGGTATGAACCAATCACTGTCATTGAAAACACCTGGACAATTCACTAGCAGTGAATGGTTGGTTCATTTCAGATTCACTGCTTTATAAATAGGCTCTTAGGTGTGACAGCATAGCATGCCCAGTCACATAATTAGCACTGTAAAGCAGTAGAATTCCAACATCAAGAAAACAGATAATAAGGTCTATGAAAACACCAAACTGCTCCATTAGTATCTGGCAAACAACGCACTGAAAATAATGAAACCCAGGTTTTCACTGCGTTATTCATATTGCCATCTCACTACTCATTATCATGCGTCATTAACACACTGCAATGTTGTTAATAAAAAAAATAAAAAAAATCATACTATGAATTTTTAATGCCAATACAGGAGAAACTAACTCAGCACAGCTTTGCATGTGACTCGATATTATTATTAAATAATGATGTGGAGAATAAATTAAAAAGAACATTGAATATTAGCGTGCATCACTCTCTCTTTCCACATTTATGTAATAGATGTCAGACAGAGAAAGTGGAATCTATATTATAGGTCACACAATCCCCACATCCAAAGTGTAGACTAGGAGCAGGCAGAGGGTGAGAAGAGAGCAGATACCTGGTTTCTGTGGATCAGAGCATATTGCAGGCTGGATGCTAAAGTGCCATTTATGCCGTATCAGGCATTTCATTATGGACTACCCCTTTTTTGGCAGGTACTCTGACCTGTTTAATCACACAGAGGTAGTTCTGACTTGTTTTGGACAAGACAGATCTTTCAGATACTTAAGTACATGATGTACAAGGTTCTTTTTTGTTTTTTTCATGTCAGGATATTGGATTAAAGCATCAGCAGAAACAGCAATAATTTGGGAAAGAACGATTACCAAAACAAGTCTGAAAATAAAGTAGTATGAACATATACAGGGAGCACTGAAAGACTGAACATAAAGCAGCTATGCTTGCCTTTCTTTCTGCTGGTGGCTTACCAATCATGCTGCTGCTTGGCATGTTTTCTGAATTAATGGCCCACAACAAGCAGAACATAAGGAATTCTGACAGTTTTCTGACATATAAATGTTGTATCCTCGTTTCCTGTTCTCGAACACAGAGTACTGGAACCAGAGATAGGAGAGTGACTAGCGTTTTCAGAACAAGGCTTGCAATGGTAACCAACATATTAGTCTTGGCAGGGGTAACTAGACCCCAGAAAAAAAGTTAAATAGACAAAAGTACAATGAGTGATCACATACTGGCAGGATCACCAGGTGGAAATAAGGCAGGGGGGGGTTAGCCAGAAGAATGCCGCCACTACATCCCAGAACTAGCAAGATACAATATTTAAAAAAAGTTTTTGTAAATACTGCAAAATCTTTTCCTTGAAACCAATTTTGGACACAGGAGTGAGGATTTCTTAATGCTGAACTCCAAAGTATAAAATGTTTACAAGTATGCCTACCTGAGCAGCTGCTGGGAATACTGTAAAGCATTGCAGGAGGCAGGGCTACTACAGTGCTGAGCGGATTACCAACTGCTCTAAAAATACAGGGGGTCACTCAGAGAATGTCTAGTATTTGTAGCAAAGAATACAAGGCATTCTCTGACTGGATGAGGGGTGGATTGTAACATCATTGCCCCTCGTCCAAACAAAGAACAACTTTGATCCATTGATAAAGTGCTAGGCATCTTCTGAATGGTTGACGGGCCGGGGAAACAGATCCCAGTGGATCATCAATGCAAGTATGAAAATACCTGGAGATCAGCTTTAAACTATTGAGTTATACTGGTGCCTAGAGGAGGCTGGGATACTGGCAAACCTCGTATGTAGATGTAGCACATACACAAAGCATGCTGCATTTTTGCATGTAAACACATCTCAATAGTAGGGCCAGTGACAAGATTCCGCAGATGGCAGGCAGTGACCATTGCACTGCTTGCTGTGCCCTCCTCCCAGTGTGGAGGAGAGAGCTAAGGGATACCAACCAACTAATCGATAATGAGAATAGTTGACAACTATTCTCTATTATTGATTGATTAGTTGGCTGCAGCCCAATTTGTCTATCAAATCCCAGACTCTGCAGATCACAGTGGGAGGGTATCACCAACAGAGGCAGTGCTGTCAATCTAGAAAGCAGTGGGCAGGACTAGGTTTGGCAAGGGTTGATTGACAAGCTACAGGCATCTGAATCAGCAGTGACAATGCTGACCACCACAGCCCTTTGAGCATTTTACATCCCACTGTAGTTTAAGCAGGCACAGCCTACATGAGAGTGACAATTTTGCATTGCTTTCAAGAACAGTTCAGCATTAGTGCAATATCATCACAGGAAGCTGAATTAAAGGAACATTACTGGCAGGATATACAGGTATTTGTAAGACTGTGCAGGGGGCAAAGGGTTTCCGATAAGTGCACATACTGCAGCACATTTTTAACATGAAGCCATAGTTCTATATTAAAATTCACACACATATGCCAAGGTTTACAATTTTGTCCAGGTCCCTTGTGCCATTTATACACCTGTGCAAGACTTTAATAATTTGCAGAGTCATGGGTTAGAACACCTGTCAGGATTTAAAGCCCCATTTATACTTCAGCATGACTGTTTTCAAGCAAAGCTTATTTTACCTCGAATTTTCCAGATTAAGCATTTGTTTTAGGAAGTTAGGAAGTTTTTAGGTGAAAAAAAAAAAACATGCACATTACACGATTCTGTCAATGCACTTTTTTGAGCTACAAGTGACCACACTCAGGTGTAAATGGGCACCACTGACTATGATGGAATTCTTCATGTTGAGCTTTATGCTTCGTGAAACACTCAACAGAACATGCTGTGTGCTGTAGTATTGTACTGCAGCTTTACTGCATAGAGGAACATAGGTTCGAAGGGAACATTATCAAAAGTGAACAGGTATTATTTCAATGTTACATAATACTGCATAAAATCAATATGCAGACCACTATAGCTATGAAATGCAGTTTGCCTTGACCTCCCTCAAAATGTACAGTTAAAGAACTCCAGGCATAATTATTCTTAACCCGTGCAGGGGGGCTAGGGTTAAGTGCTTGTTTTAATCTTTCGCCCAAACTTCATTAACCCTGTCACGCCTCAGTCATGAAGGGGTTAAAAGCACCAAACTCAAACCCAGACATTTACTTTCCAACAGAAGTAGTTATAATGGAAATGAAAATTTTAAAAACCTATTGTCAATGTACAATGATCCAAAAGATACTTAAAACACACTCACATTGCTGTAAGAACTGAATGGCTCACAGAATAGCGAGATGTTAACACTGCCAAGTGTGAAGAGGCACAAACTAAAATAAGAAAAAGAAGAAGTCTGCACAGATGGCTTTAACTACAACCAGATGAGGCATACAGTCGTTAATCCATCATTTTGAGAAAATGTTGATTAAAATATTTGTTTTTCCAAGAACTATTTAAATTTGTAGTTTCATTGTAGCAAAGCATAGACAGAGTACAAATCAAACGCAGGCAGCATAACAAATCAACTGTTACAAGTACATCACTGGCTCGAAACAATGTGAATGCTGCATATAAACAAAACAGGAATAAGGTGTTTGGTAAAACGCCTGCAGATTTTTGTATATTGGTAGCATAAACCTACATTAGGCTTTGCATCTATTTATTCTACAAAAAATGGTTCATCTAGTTTCAACTATGGATCTTTATACACTGCACGGACTACTAAAGTGGTCATATTATGACACACACAGAAACCTGGGAGGGGCCTATTTTCAAAGAAAGAAAAAAACAACATGGCAAAGCAAGTACATTACAAAGTTAGACTTCCTAATAGTCCATTATAAACAAAGGTATGCATCCCTTGGCGCTTACCATTGCCCTATGTGCCCATGCATCATAAAACTGCGTAGACAGGACACAAAGCACACAAACAATAACATAGCCATCAATACAACAGATAATCAAAAGGAATCAAATAAAAGCATCTGCATGCGAGTAATCGACATGCCTATGTATTTTTGGACTTCTCTAAATGTAGACAATCAGGCTACACAAATAAGATTTAAGGGAAAATTGCAAAACTGCATCATGCTGCAACTATAGCTCAAAAAAGCAAGACAACACTAGCTACAGAACTGAAATATTAACCAGTTAAAGTGTATGCAAACATAAGCTATATGTTTGGAATCATGCCTTATTGCATACAGCACATAGTTTTAGAATGCCTGCATGCTAAAAACAGGCCATTTTAGCATGCAGGTTGGTATGCATGGTGTACAGGCGGGTGAGGGGCGATGCTATGTATTGTTACAAAGCACGCTAATTACAGGCAGAGAATAAATGGGCCATGAGGATAGGGGCATGGTTTATTTGTTTACATCTGTTGTGGGGCTTTTCAGCTTCCAATA